TTTCAAATACAAATGTCTACTTTAGGATCAGAATTACTGATCTCTTAAACTCCACTGACTGCATTGACTTAGCAACAATGAGTGCCATCTCAACAGACTTTTGATTCCTTCACTTTTTTTTTTTGTCTAAAGATTTATTCTGCTATGAACTCATTTTTTAAGAAAGTCATTGTCCTTTATACAGTTAGCCAAACATCACGAGGTACGAAACACAAACATGCGCGTTAATCCAGCGCTGCCCAGGCATAACAGTGACGTCACAAGCAGCTGTGCCCCAACACCCGATCACAGCACGAGGCAAACCCAGCATTTCACACCAAGTGAGAGTGTGCCTGATAAATGAAGCTACAGCAGAGACCAAGAGATGTGCAGAAACTCACCGTGCCATACATTTCATAGAACTCCACACATTAATTAAGTTTTAAAGACGACGAGTATTTTACACCAAGAACCACTCTTGCCTTGCACACACATCCTGTCAGCTCTTCTCATCTGCTGCTACATAATCCACAGTTCCACTTCCTTATGCAGCAGTTAGATTGCTTTCGTGCGTGGCATTATGGAAGGCACTTTCCTATCTCTAAAGCTCTCTTCCACATCCTCTGCTGATGTACAAGGCCCACACAAAACAAAAACTACCAAATGTAAACAATATCTTACTCCATATAATTAGTCTCAAACTGATGGAACTTTGCTAATTAGAGATCAGGTACCTCATGGTTGATGACAGTCCAGCCACAGGAGGAATCGCTGTCACTGTAACTTTCAGACATTTTCAAAGCACACTGCAAGTAAAAGTAGATTATTTTAATATGCAAGATAAATAATTTCACTGCTCTCTTGTCAAACAAATAAATAAATAGAAGGAAAAAAAAAATCCACCTCATGTCATCACAGTATACTACACATTAAGTCTTATATTGTTATTCTTGAACTGAGGAGAAGGAAAAAGAAGAAAAAATACGATTCAGACAAAAAAATAATATATTATTTTATACATACTCCCTATTATTTTTCTATGCTTGAAATATGGCTTTTCCTAACACATACTCATCTCAGCCAGTCAAAAGTCTTCTAGGCTAGCAAACAGCCACACGGAGACAGCACCAGCCAATACATCAACAGTTACACTTAAAATGTGTTTGTTTGAAGCATCCTTGCTTAAAGGCACACTTCAGAAGTTGAAGTCATCTCTGTTTTTTACAGGTAAGGAACTAGAACTTACTGAAGAAAAACAGCTTTTGGAAGAAGATACTGATCAGTATTTAACAGGTTGCCCAAGGAGGCTGTGGATGCCCCATCCCTGAAGGCATTCAAGGCCAGGCTGGATGTGGCTCTGGGCAGCCTGGTCTGGTGGTTGGCAACCCTGCACATAGCAGGGGGTTGGAACTAGATGATCATTGTGGTCCTTTTCAACCCAGACCATTCTATTGAAAAATCTTTTGAAAATAACTCTCTTCTGAGCGATGTCTTCCTTTCAGCTCCTTACAAGAACACATACTGATTCCAAAGAAGCTGAGAGCAGCCAGAGAGCACAGAAGCAGGACGGAAAAAGAGCTGAAGTACAGATTTCATGGTTATGGCACTGCCAGATGACTGGGGTAGCTATTTTCAGGACAGCTGTTGGCAGCAGCTTCCTCCATGCCTGTATTTTTCTCCTGTATGAGGAATATTGAGTATTGACTATTGTTAAATGTTTAGACTACTTCCATTTCTTAACAGAAAGATTTCAAAAAAAGTTCAGTGCATCTCTTGTCCCTTAAAATAATAATAATAAAAAAAGGTCAAGTGTTCAATAATAACAACCATAGCAGTATCACTGTGGAGAAAAACAAAAGCTCCAAAGGCAGTACAGGAAGCCTACCATATCTGTGCTACAACGAAATAGCTGAGGAAATTCTTGTTCAATAAAGCTTCTATAAAATCTTATTTATATTGCTGATGGAGAACTCCGAGAACTTGATGCACCTGCTTTATTTCTCACAGCTCAATACTTTGGGTGAGAACACAGGAAAACAATCGTTTCTTGAACTCCTCTCTACTTTCCCACCATTGCTATCTTTGCTCTCAGCACATTACTGCAGAAAAATAAACAAATAGAACTGGCACACCTAAACATGCACAGCAAAGTACAGAACTTTCAATTCCATCAAGAACACAGTCCATGTTTGTCTAGTACATCCATGCTATGGTATGGCGCTGCGCACTTTTTCTAAAATAAAGCTTTTTTCCTCATCAACTTGGATGAATCTATCTGGGATTCCTCCAGAACCAGGGCAATGATGACAATCATGACAAGGCCATTAGCAGGAAGTATCAATCACCATAGCTACCAAACCTACAGATAAACCCAATTTCCATTACAAAGCCCCAATCTAAATACAGTTGTCATTGCCCTTTTTCTTTTTAATCTTTTCCCTCCTTCAGTAGAGCTTTTCCTGGAATATCAGTGAGGGGACACCAGACTTTACTTACTTATCCATTAAAACCAAACCAAACAGCGTTGTTCCATCAAAGTATTGAATGGCACAGACTGCACTGCAGAGCTCCCACCACATGACAACATGCCTGCTGTCACTAACCTGCCCTGAATGTGAGCATCTCAGGTTATGTTAGGAATTCCCTTTCATATAAAAACATCCCCATTTCATCATTCTACAGTTCAGCAAACACAGTGATCATAAGAACATCAACTTCACTGTCACTGAAAACAAAGCCTTTTGCTTATCCACTGTATTTCAGGGCAAATATGGGGCAGATCGTACTTGTGAGTCTGATCTCTCCTGCAGATAATAAATGAATAAATGAAGATTGTGGTTTTGTCACACAGCAAATCCAGTCACACTGCACCTTAGTGCTAAAGGAAAAGCAATGAAATCACATAATATAAACCCTTTCATATACAAAAAAAAAAAAAAAAGTATTTCTGTTGATACAAAGGCATTTATAAATTTTGAAAGGGCAGTTTCTCACAGCATACTTGGTGCTGGACACGGCCATGCCTGTCCTCCTCTGGCCAACTGAGCATTTCAGCATGGCCCTGGCTACAGCAACACAGATGCTATGACATGCTGTCCCTCCTCCCAAATCAGGTAGACAGGTAATGGAGCACAGCATGAAACCAGTTCCAACAGACACACAACCTCAGGCTCTACGGAGCTGTTTAACATATGTCTTCCCTCCAAAACCCACAGCTTCAGGTTCCCTTGCTTTAGCGGCAGGGGGGTATCTGTGTAATCCAAAGATATTCAAAACCAAGGGACAGAAAACCACACAATCATTATTTTTGTACTGCTTGCTGGCCTTGATGAACAGCCTTGAGTTAAAGGTTACTTATCTTGTGCTCAGCCTGAATGCCCCACCAATACTGGATAACTGCTTACAGGTTTGAGCAGTCAGCAAAAAAAAAGTTTGCCTAGTATGGAAAATAATCAAATAAAGAAAAAAAAAAGGAGAATTACAAAATAAAGTGAGATTGATAATGTTATATTGATCAAGATGCAGGATGGTTCTGATATTAGTTGATTAAGTTCTGATAGACTGAAAGGCATCTCATGGACATCTATATTCTTATATGCACAGAAGTAAAGCTTTTTTAGAATTATTTTGTTCTAAAATAAAACAGCTTGCACAGCTTTAATAAAAAAAATACCCAGGTACGCTGCTCCTGAACCACAAGCAACAGCTAAGCTGCTTATTTCTGTGAAAGATGAATAAGACACGCACAGTCCTAACAGTTCAAGTTCTTTTATACCCCAGCCCGCAGTGGGCAGGTAACTCCAGGCCTCAAACGCCCCACACCACTGCCGACACCTGCTTTTATACGGCCGTCTGGAAGCCAGAGGTGCGCCGCCCTGCCGAAGCGCAGGACGGAGGCAGGACGCGAACAGGCCGGCAGACACCTGTCCCGCGGCACGGCACGGCACGGAGCGCCTCGCCACGCGTACCCACGGGAGCCGGACGGGAGCCCGCAGCGGAACAGCGCGCGGCCGGCACCCAGCACGGCCAGCCGGAGGAACGACGCGGAGCCACGGCTCGTCACGGCCCGCCGTGCCCCGGCTCCAGCGGACGTTGCCGGCTCTCACCCCGCGCCGCGCGCCCCCGGCTCGTCCCGCCCGGACCCCGTCCCGCCGAGGCAGCGCAGGTGCCGCCCGCCCGTCCCGCGGCGGGGGATGATGAAAGAGCAGGAAGTTGGCACGCGGCGCTGCCCCAGGCGGCGGGGCCCGGCTCGCGACTGACGGCTTCCCCCCACACTGCACCCGGAGCGTCCCCTCAGCCTCCTCAGCCTCCCCGGCCCCCCGCCCGAGCGACCCCCGAGCGGCCCCGGCGACCCCCCACCCGCGGGCTTCGCCCCTCCGAGCGGCCCCTCCGCGCCGGGACCGGCTCACCGCGACCAGCCGCAGCGCCGCAGAGCGGACCGCGCACCTGAACGGGCCGGGGCCGGCAGCCCCCGAGGCCGCCCCGCCGCCTACCTGAGCGCGGGGCCCGCCGCAGACGACGGAACGCCGGCGGGACCGGCGGTGACGCCGCCGCAAAACAACACCGAGTGCCCGGGCCGGCGCCTGCGCACGGCGGCGGCGCCCCGGGGCGCCCTGGAGAGCGTAGTCCGCGCCCCGCCGCGGCCGGCCGGCCCGACCGCCCCGCCGACTACAGCGCCCGAAGCGCACCGCGCCGCGCGCCCGGCCCCGCCCCGCCGGCCCACGGCTGCTATGGCGACGCCGCGCCGCGCACCGCGGCCGCAGCGGAACCGCCGAGCTCGGCGCGGGGCCGCGGAGCAGCCCGGCCTTTGGAGGTTCATCCCCGGAGCCCCGGGCGAAGGGACAGCGCTCCTGGGCGACTGCACCGCGCCGCTCGCACTGAGAAAGGGGGTGAACGGGAGCCCTGCTTAGGGCAAGCCTCTGACAGATTGGAAGAGCCAAAAGCGAAACATAACAACCACATCGCCTTATTCTTACACGTATTTTCTTATCGCCCTTACTGCTCCTGTCACACATTAAGGCATGTATGCTCAAAAGCTTATCGCTGATGCAGAAATTAATGCCACGTCAAGATTTGCTACTACATCTCAATACGAGTTCATTTCTCCCTGCCCCCAGCTGACTACAGATCAGAAGCAAGCAGTGTGCAGCTCCCTGCTGCACCCAGGTATTTCACTACATGCCTTGCACAACACTCTGACCACAAACATGAACAAATGTGAGATGTTCTGCCCCAGTATGTGAAAGGCTGAGAGAAATTTGCTTCTTTAGCAGGGCAAGATGACTTCTGCTGAGAAAATGCCTCAATCACCAAGAAAAAAAACCATCTCCTTATCCTCCTCCCCACACAAACCCCTGGAATCCTATATGCTCCTGCATGCTGGAGCCCAGCATACTCCTGACCAGCAGTTCTTTGGCAAAGCCTCAGGTTTTGCTGTTTGAAACAGCCTCATACGAATACAACACTGCAGTACCTACTGCATAGATGCTGCCCCATACGTATCATCCCCTGGATCAAACATTTCCAGAACACTTACTCACTTGTGGATCATCTCAAGACAATTATTTAAATACTGCCTTTGACAGAAGTAGGGTTTATGACTACCCCAACTTGCAGCATACTTTGTAACAAACGAGTCCGTTCTCTCACAGACCAGTCACTTTGCTTTAAGAACTCTGACTGCGTTGTTTCAGTTGTTCTGGGAATAACAGCCAAATATTTCAGTTGTTTTGTTTGCTGCTGTGAGTAAAACATACCCAAAAAGATGTAGCACATTAATGACGCGCTTCTCCGAGTCAAAACTAAACTGCAAAAATAAAACTTTTGAAACCTATCAAAACTAACAGTAACTCAAATCTGTAGGAAGAGTCAAATGCAGGAATCGTTTCCTGGAATGGTTATGTTTAAATTATTTTCTGATTTTAAAACTCTGCACTGCTACATCCCAGGACACTAAGTATCAGCCTACCAAAACTGACTTTGATGTGGTATACACAGCACCAGCTCAGGTGTTGAGATCAGTTTTACTCCATTTGTTCCCCATGTAGCCAAACCAGACAGGCTGGTGTTATCTGTACCACCAAGTACATTCGATTCTGCAGGCTCTCGTAAGGGAACTGTGTCTATTTCACAGCAGTAGAAAAAGGCGCCTGCCTACATCAGAAACAGCCTTAAGTAGCTATCACAGATCAGTACAATACAAAGTATTGTATAACTTATCAATAATATAACTTATCAATCTTGTATATTGATGTATATATTGTGTAATGTACACAGGTTATTCTAACAGACTCCAAACCAGAGAATTAGAGACCCAAAAAACAGAACCTGCTTCTTTCATCTTCCTCCTCTCAACAGTGACTCCTTATCTTAACCCTCGCTTCTCCTCAGTACTCACCCGAAATAAAGTTACCATATTTTGGCAAGTGTAGTATTACACTTAACTGAGGCACTGCCCTCCTTTCAACTGCCATGAACATAGCATTCACACCTCCCTGCCCTGCAATTCAGTAAGTATCTGCAGATAAGATGGCAGCTACCCCCGGCATTTCTGACTCAGCTCAGCACAACTCCCAAGGCTCTAGGTCAAACATCTGGAAGCAACACCTGCCACCCCCTCCTTGTACAGAATATCTTATCTACATATACATTTGTACATTCTTTCTCAATTCCCTTGTTCGGTCAGCCCAAACAAATGATACAAAATAGTCTGCAAATATTTACAAAACATGGCTGCTAAAAAAGAATATTCTATGCTACATAAAATTTACCTCATGATTTCAGGTGGAGGTTATCTAAACTGGGTGCCTGAATTACAATGTATGAATTCACTGTCTTAGTTTCAGATACACCAAGCTCTACAAGCGCAAAGAAAAGAGGAAAACACATAAAAAAGAGAAGAGCCTTCAGACTGCAGCAGGAATTGCAAGTGCTCAACAGGCACAAAAATTCAGACTACCATCCATGTTAGATTTATTAAAAATAAAGTAATATTTCCTAGTGCAAATCCATATAAAGTGTATGAAATTACTAAAACTTATATTTCACATAGACTTCACAGCAGATAGTTTCACTAGTATCCAAGCACAGATAACTGTTTTGTCTTTGGTGAAGAACAGGAAGAGAAGTTTTGTGCTGACTACAGGGAACTACTGAAGATGTTTGAAAACTCACTGTCTACATTCAGTAGATACTTCCAGACAAATAATTTATTTGGCTGTAGGTAACTTCAAATCAAGTACAAAAGCTATGTTTTATTCTTTAGCCCAACACACAGCACAGAAAAAAAACTTGACAACCTTGTATCAAAATGATATGCAGTATATCTAATCGTATTTGTTATAGAACCATGCTTGCCAAAAAATACCTACTCATATCCAGTATTTTATAAATTCAATAGGTATTCCAAGTGAAACAAAAAAAATCTAGTTAGCAACATACTGAAGAGAACATGAACTAAGGCTCCTTCTGAGGCCCCCAAAAGGCACAAAAAGCTCCTTTTTTATTTTTAAGAATTTTGCACTGTTCCCTGAATTGTGTGTCGAATCTTCTCTGCATCTTTTTCTATGGTTTTATTTTTAGGATCAATCTTGAGAGCTGCTTCATAATCCTGGAGACCTATCAATACATTAATAAGAGCGTCAATCATTAATGCAAATGTCTTTTCCTCTTTAGCAACTAACTGGAAATAAATGCTTCCTGGCTGACTGCATAAGGTACTGCTCTTGAAATTTGCTATTGAGCAAAACAGATCAGAACAACAACAGGATTAACTGCTGTCAGTATACTAAATGTATACCTGGTTCCTATTATTTTTAAAAATATTTTAATGGAAACATCACTGCTACACAAACATTTCAGGTCCTGAAACACCAAAAGAGACCCGCTTCATCATATGTATGTGTCTCTGCTCACACACAGAGGTCAACTAACTTTGGTCTAACTTAGGCTTTCTTCAGCCTAAAGACTTTTCACAGGATAGGGCTTCCACCTGCAGACTATCTTACAGTTGTTCTAAGTTTGCCATTCAGTTAACAAATAAACAAATGAGCACAACAGCCAAATCAAATGGTTTCTACATCAGACAAAATTATAACAGAGGCACACTGGGTAAAGGAATTACAGATGTGGGGAGCGTTCAAGAGTGTTCTGCAGCAGATAGAAAAATTGACTAATGGAATGAAAACACATGAAAACAAGAAAAAAAACCACATGCTGTGAATAAGATAGCTGGAAGATATAAGAAAAGGAAGGAAGGAGGGAAGGGAAGGGTCCTTATTAGGCTTTCCTGTACAAGTGAAATTGCAAGGAAGTGACAAAGGGATTCATAGATAAGATAACAGCTGGGAAAAGCTTTGCATAAACATTTTGAACATTCTTCACTTGCTATTATCATCTTTTCCTTTTAACTTTGCCTTACAAAGCCAAGGGACACATAACTCATATCTGTATAAAGATGACACATACTTGATAAACATCTTTTTGGTCAATATGGATTTCATATACAGGTTTAAAAAGACATGTTACTACAAAGGTCACAAACAAGTAATTTAGAAATATTTCAGGTTATTTTAATTAAGGTGTTCTATAGTTGCTAATGCTATAATCTAAAAATCAGTATAGTGCTGTCTCATGAACAGCTGAAGTACTGCAACCTAGTTTCACATCAGTTTGCCTGCCACTTTTGAATGGTTCCTAAATTGAAAGTCTCACCTCTGACCTCTCATTTCACTCCACATAATACCCTCCATGGCCAGCAGCCTGCTACAGTCAAGATTTGGCTGCAATGCACAGAAAGACTGACTACCCAGCGGACGAAAGGGAGGATGTTACAACAACTCACTGAAGCCTTTTCCTCAATGAAACTAATGTGTACCCCCTGAATTAGAAGTATAATCAATTCTCTGACAACTTAAGATTTAAAAAAATCAAGTGGAATTGCAATTAGCCAGTGAATTGTCCTTCCTGAAAAGAAACAAAAAGAAACACAGGTGTGAGCAGTCTCACTGAGCTAAACCAATGACTCAGTTGTCAGAATGGGTCCATGTGCATGTGTTCACAAAGATCAAGGTCTTACCTTCAGCATACAGCTCCAGCTGACAAAAGGCTGTGCCACGTCTCACATATGCTTTTACTCGAGCGTTCTCATTATCAGGAACAGGTGGTGTTAGCAATTCTAGTGCCTTCACAAATGAAAACACCAGAAATAGTTACAAGTAGATCTTCCACAATTTCGTTGATTTTTTTGTTTGTTTGGGGTGGGTTTTGTTTGATTAACTTACACATCTTCCTTTCACTTAATAAATTACAATTGAAATGTAACTATACAGCCTACATAACTCACTAGTATTTCTATCACTCATCCCACAGTTTGATAAACATATTATCACTGCCATGGTTAATACATAGAGATGATGCAGCCCTTACTGAAAAATGTCTGGTATTTTTAAGGTGTCTTCCCTACTACTTCTGCCACCTCTTTTTTCTTCCCATCATGTGAAGAACATTACAATATAATACAACAGGTATTTGTGCACATTCAGTACTTTTTCTGCTCCAAGTTGGTGGTTTGTTTTATTTTAATCCCTGGAGTGAAAGTGTTCCTATGATATTTTACCATTAAAGAAGCATGTACCAAGTCAACTGGTTTCATTATATCAATTCCATATTTAAAAATTGTGAACTGCACTATAACTTTTTTTACAGATCTTCTTGAAACAGAAGTATTGCAATAACAAATCACAAGTGTGTATAAGACAACAGTCTGAGAATCTATATGTTCATACCTTAGAGGAATCTTCAATGGCTTTGTGTAAATTTCTCAGCTTAAGATGGCAAGCAGCACGATTCAAATACAGCAGTGGAAGCTTATTGTTTAGTCGGACTGCAAGGTTATATGCATTTACAGCTGCAAGATAGTCTCCTGTTGCAAACATTTTGCTAAGTATAAAGCAAGAAGTGAAACGTGATTTCAACAAGATAATGCATCATGAAACAAATATCTACTTCTTAATAAGAATTAAGCAAAAATTATGGATTTAGCAGGTTCCATTTGTCGTTCACAACTTTTTCTGAGAACTTAATGTTCAGAATGTCAAACAATGCACAGAACAGAGCACACTGATCATGTTTTGCAAAGTCACATGTACAGATCAGCAAAAAGTGGACACATTTATGCAGCCACATGACTAATTTTAAGAGATACATCAGATCATGATTATCTAATCAAAGCATCCTGTATAACACAGCTACATAAATGCAACAATAGTTTTATAAATTCCTAGTGCTTGCTTCAGACAGGTATTTAACATCTGAATAAGTGCAACTGACAGGAAATCACCTAGGCATAATATTTCACTAATTGAATGGTCCTCAGTATGAAAATGTGCTGTATTTGTTTATGATTTTATTTTTAAATGATGAATTTCCTTCAGCAATTTCATCTCACGACTTTCTGTGAGATTAAAAGCCCTTAAGCTATCAATAAACTCTTCACTGTGTATACATTCCTCATCTGTGTTTAGAATAAACCAAAAATATCACAATTATACATAAGACAAACACAGTGTAACTAATATTTCATTTTAAATAAATCTTCATATGGAATCTGACTTACTTTCCCTTGTCCTTTAACCAGTCTGGATTTTTCTCCTCTTCTTTTAAATCTTCCAGCTCAGACAAATCAGCATTTATTATCCTTCGAGCTTCTGCCTGTTTTTGTAGCCACTTTAAATATACAATTTGCAAGTATTATTTCTGAAGGAAAAATTAAATACTGTTCTTATCTGCTCATTCAGTCTACCAAAAGAATTCTATTTGCCTCATATTTTGGGCAGAGATAAATATTCATTAATGTAAGACAGGAACAATTTCCTATTTTCCCCAAATATTTTATTGCTGTGTGAGAAGTAAGGTCACTGCATTATTAATACCTATTCAGTAAAGCTCAGGAGAGACATATTGTGAGAGGTAAGCTTCAGAGAGTTCCTTTTTAAGACAGAACTTAATGAGTCTTAAGTGTAAGAGCAAAGAAATTTCAAACCTTGTACTTCATGGAATTCAGTGTTGCAAATTTTTAATTAAAAAAGTCATTTATCTACACAATGCATGGTGAAAAGTATTTAAATCTTTAGATAAGACTGTATTCCTTGGAAGGTAAGAACAGACCACAGGTAACATTTTTGCCAACTTCCTGAACAAAGGGTAAATAGTTTGCCATCCTGGAAGATAAGAGAAGCACCAGACAAACACAACAATCCCTACCTCTTCCTCTTCTGCTACACGAGACTCTCGAAGAGCTGTAGGAAAAACTCGTGATGTGAAGTTGATTTTAATAGTACCGGCAGGTCGAGGAGCTGGCAACTGCTCTTCTCTTAAATTCTCTGAAAAGATACTATAGGAGCCACGACCTACAAAAAGAATTAGAGTACTAGAATTGAAAAGAGAAGGAAAAGGGATTATTTTTCTACCAAATTCCAAAATAAACCTAATCTAGAAATGCTGGTTATTAGAAATAAACCTTCAGGAAAGTTGGGACTTATTCTATTGAAGGAAAGCTTCAAACAGCATTTGTTCTTGCTGCTAAGCATGCAATGTATTACTGACACTACACTGTCAGAAATGGGTTCTTTTTAAAGCACTCTTTCACTTACGTGACTTTCTAGCAGGGCAAGTGTAAGACCTAAAACTAATCTTACTGAACAATTTAAACAAAACCAAAAGGAACAAATTTTTCTTGGCTTAGTTCCTCATTAGCTCTCTGCAGGGCCAAGGCATGGGAGAGTGAAATGAGACTGCTTATCTCTGCAAAAAAATGGCAGTTTAGACACTTCAGTAGTAACATGAACTCCACCCTCAGAGAGTTTGCTCTGCACTGTTAGAAAGACTTTCTGTTGTACTTTGCTAAAGCCTACAACAAAACTTGGCTTGTGTTTCCAAAGACTTAAATGAGAGCTAAGAACTCACACATTTTAGCTCAATGAATTGCAAGAAAATAAAGACACAAATGTAACTGCAAACCAAAAAAAAAAAAGAGTTCAGTACAGTAGAGACAAAGATAAAAAATGAACCAGAAACATCTGGTTCACACTCTGTAGAATGTTAAAATATATCTCAATAACACAACCTTTTGTATCTTTGAGTTTGGTCTTAGAAATTTCTTCATTAGGAATTCTGGTTTTGTTTATTTTTTCTCCTTTCTTCTCCTTTAGTTGCTCTCCTTCTTCATGGAGTTCCCCTTCATTTTGCACCCTCTTTTGTTTCTCAACATTGTTTTGCTGACATCTCCATAGCTCCAACTCCTTAGCAACTTTCTGTCTCTCCTGTTCTTTCAGACCTTCAATTCTTTTTCTTTCTGCTTCTTCTAGCTGTGTGAATGATAAAACTGTGAGACACATAACATTCAATAATAAGATGTCTGAATAAAAGGTATAATTGGTTTTGCCAGTATTATGTCCCAAGTAAATAATCATCATTAACAAAAGCCCCCAGGTAAAGTTATAAAAAAATGCTTTAAAATGACTGTAATTGTGATGAGCAGTAAACTGATTAGTTTTTAAAAGCCATATATTTCAACTATTTTACTACCACTATGGAGGTATGATCCAATTTTCCCTGCATATTAAAGAATGAAAAAGGTACTCCAGAAACAAATCTTTAATAGGCTTTCCTTTTGTCTTCAAAGTTCATTTCAGTTCAACACACAACATATGCTGTTCACGTATCACCCTTACGCTGAAGAAAATACTTTTTTTTAAATCTACTTGGACTGCTTTATTATACTTGATGTTAAAGCTCTTCCTGCCTTTGATTCAGTAATGATGATGATTACTAGAGAGCTGGGAAGTGCCTTCTGATGAGGCCCTAATTACCAGTGCTTCTGGAAGATGACACCTCACTGAATAAGATTTTTAAAAAATGAATATTTTTGTCAACAACAATGAGCAAATACTCACACTGTTTGCAGAGGCCAGTGTTAATAGATTAACATTTTGCCCCATAATTATAGTCTTCTTTTAAGTGATGAAAATCTGAACTCTCACACACACACAGAAAAACTTTCTTCAGAGTAACCAATGAAAAGAACTTCTAAGTATTTTTACAGCAATTTCATAACTGGTAAGACCTATGTTTTAAGATACGAGATTCTCCACCACTGTAATAAAAATGAGTCCTTCTTACACATTTAACCAAGCAGCTCCCAGATTAATTGGCAATTACATCCACATGTTTCGTAGAGTTCCTTCTACATTTACCTTCATTGTAGCCTCCAAAGCATACTTCTTGTGCTCCTGTTTTGTAACTTTTTTTGCTTCTGTCTCCTCTTTCGCCTTTTCGTGTGCTCTTAGAACAGCATTCTCTCTTAGATGTTGCAGTTCCTCCTTGTTAACTTAAATAAACGAAAACTGTTCACTAATTTAGGTCTGAAATTCTATTGTGATGTACCACTTTCATAAAAACAAGATTCCTCTTTTACATTTTGTCTAAGAAAATGCAATGTTTCCAGCTCCACAAAGCAGTTTTCATCAAGCCCATCCTTAAATGTGAAAATCTAAGACTCACAAACACACAGTGCTAGTTTCATAAGAAACACTGTTTTGTGCTCAGCAGAACCACTACATTCCTTATCTGTTCTGCTGTACTTTCTATTTTAACAATAAACAAGGTTCAATTTAGGAGATGTGTAGCTGCAGAAGTTACACTTTTTAAGTTTGGATTTGTAAAATTACAGCAGAGAAATCTTTCCTGCCCCCAAACTGGCTTTTCTAATAATCTCTCTCTCTTTTCAGAACCAGCATTTTGGCCCCAGCAGTTGATCAGTATGGAACCAGCAACACCACGAATATCATCTACAATTTCCTATGAATGAGTGGAAAGTGACTCAGAAAAAAAGGAATAAAATGTTCCCAGCTGACACCCACATTGTTCAGTGACAGATGAGAATTCTTGCACTTTCTGAAGCCATGAAGGTAAAGGTAATATTTACCTATATCAAATAATACAGTTAGAAAAGCAGCAAAGCCATTGAAAAGAGTTTTCACACAGCTTGGGTCCTTTACATGCAATCTGTTTTTCCCTACAGAGAACTTACCATTTGCTACAGTCAGGGACTCCCACATGGCCACTTCTTTTTTATACAAAGTGAAGAAAACGATTCCATTTCCAATCTTTGCTGTGCTGTTTGTCTCATCAATAGGAGCATATAAAACGGCTTCAAATAAAAAGGGAGGGACGCTTACCTATAAAAATACAATTAACAAACACGTACTAATAACTGAATTCTTATTTCATTCTCAGATGTTCCAAACAACACAAGCACACAGCACACCTCAGCAACAAGTGCTGCTCAGCAAGCCGATCACTCAGCACACCATGCAGTTTTTAGAACCACTGGACCAGATCAGAGACCCAAACCGTGTGCTCTTCTGCACCCAACTAGAAATGGCAGACCTCGAGTTTATCATTACAAGTCACGGTTCATGCAGAAGCTTACAGAAAAGGCAGCCAGCACCCACCGAACCGGACAGGTGCTGGCATTATTCGTTGGAACAGGGCAGCCTAGAAAGATTGGCACGAACAGCCCGCTTCACTCAAAGGGCCAGCAGAGCCTAACGTTTGTAAAAGGCTGCGAAATCGGCAGCGCTGCCACGGTGCGCTGAGCGCGTGCTTTTTAACGGAGCGACGCCGGACCGCAGCCCCGTCGCCCACCTTCAGGTACCGCTCGGTGCAGAAGATGTTGGCGGCGGTGACCCGCAGGCCGCGCACGGGCAGCGAGAGGTACACGGCGGAGCCGCTCTGCCGCCAGCTGTGCTCCCGCAGCCACAGCGGCATGGCGCCGGGCGTTGCTAGGGAAGGCCGAGCGCTTCCGGGGCCCCGCACCGCCCGTGGCAGGCGCTGGCAGCCGCCGGCAGCCGCAACTGATGGCACCGGCCGGAGCGGCGCGCCGCAGGCTCGGAGTTGTGGGCCGAGCCCCGAGGCCACCCGGGTACGGGGCGTACGTGTATTGAAACTGTGGGCTCGGCAGAACTCGGTGTTGTGGGTCCGATCCCGGCCCGTTACTCACCGAGACGCTAAGCTGACGCCGGTCTGGCTTCCGTCACTCACACCTGAACAGGGCAGGATAGAATGCAGCTCATGTTATCCAACTGCACTTCCATGGCTGTTGGTACTTGGAGAACTTCTAGTAAAAACTATTACAAGGTGAGGACTGATTTAAGCACTGAAGCTCCCGATGACCTCTAACGAGGGTCAGGCCATGCCTGCAGCTCAGTGTAGCGCCCCGCACAGTGCTGACCCAGGCAGGTAACACAGGCTGCTGCCCAGCCTTCCTCAAACAGCAATGCCCCTGTGTCCAAGTAGTCTAAAGCATGCAGAAAGCAGCTAGTTCTGGGGAACGTCGACTGAAGGCAAACCTAACTCACTTGGAGCAATCTTCCATCAGAAGAGCGGTGGCCAGCAGGAACAGGGAGGTGATTGTCCCTCTCTGCTCCGCTCTTGTGTGGCCCCATCTGCAGTACTGCGTTCAGGTCTGGAGCCTCCAGTACAAGAAAGACAGGGAGCTGTTGGAGAGGGTCCAGAGGAGAGCCACAAAGATGATCAGGGGACTGGAGCACCTCCCCTGTGAGGACAGGCTGAGGGAGCCAAGCTTGTTCAGCCTGGAGAAAAGAAGGCTGCGGGGTGACCTCATTGCAGCCTTTCAGTACCTAAAGGGAGCCTACAGAGAGGAGGGGAAATCAACTCTTTGAAAGGGTTGATAACTGCAGAACAAGGGGAAATGGTTTTAAGCTGAGGAAGGGAAGATTTAGGTTGGATGTCGGGGGGGAAGTTCTTTACTATGAGTGGTGAGGTGCTGGAACAGGCTGCCCAGAAAGGTTGTGGATGCCCCATGCCTGGAGGTGTTCAAGGCCAGACTGGATGGGGCCCTGGGCTGCCTGGTCTAGTATTAAATGGGTGGCAGGGGGGTTGGAGATTCATGGTCCTTGAGGTCCCTTCCAACCCTGGCCATTCTGTGATTCTGTGGAGCAGTTCGGTGCATTTAAGTTCCTGAAATACATAGTTACTTGGAACTACTTGGAAAAATCCAAAAGAACCACAAAGTCGTGTGTGTGTATGTGTCCACACTCTTTTTCCCATGGAGGACTAAGAACAATCAAGTTAACATTGCACACGAGTTAAGGTTCCTGAGCGCGGCTGTATTCTGAAGGAGTGATCAGATGCCAGTGGATAATACTGTGAGCTAACTGCTGCTCTCAGTACAGCACAGAAATAGATATTGCAGAGGTTTAAAAAACTTTTTCAGAGAAAGAAATCCATCATAATTTATATAATCTCTGGGTTATTCTTCACCTTCATTCATCAGATCAGTATAATCAGAGTGAATGCTTGCACGAACAGGAATCTGAGATATGAATTAAGATCCTCATTCCAAGAGCATTCAAAAGTACAAGTGAAACAAGATTTGACTCCGAGTCAAAATGCTTTAAGTATTCTTGGCACAGGTAACATATTTTTTTTTCCTAAACCTTGCATGATGCATATTTTCATGCTTACTGTAGGATCTGCATCACAGAGTAGGAAGCCTTGTTGCCAGCTGTAGCAGGAAAAGATGAGTTTATATTTCTGAACCAAGGCTTAAATCAAGATGTCTCTGTCAACTCACAGCTGTAAGTCTAAGAAACTGTAACAGAATATAAAATAAATAATGTAAATAAAAGCTAAGGAAGGATTCCATGTGAGAACCTTTTCCCCAGAAAGAACATTTTCCTACACAGACCCTTAGCTTACTTGGAAAGGCCAAAACTGCACACAGCAGTTCCCATCCTATTTGCCTGCTTTCCAGATGAAGAGTTGAGGGTAGGAGAGGACGGTAGTTTGATTTTAAAGCAGCCAACAAACAGACAAGGTGTTCAAAGAGCAGCAGTGGATGGAATTATTAAAATGTAATAGTGATTTAGTATCCCCTCCCATTCCAGAATATATCAGTAGTTATCTGGAAGGCATTCCTCAATTCTGGAGAGTCCAAAGGTAACAAAAAAGTCTTACATTTGCTGCCCTTCTGATTTTCTCATCCAGGTATCATTTTTACTTCAGTCACAGAGAATATACTGAAATGAAGTAGCTTGCTACTTATGCCTGCCAGAAATAACGTATTATTTATACACAATTTACAACACAGGCCACAGTTGCAGTTACCAGTATTTGATGTTCTCAAGTTACACAAAATAGTTCCAGTACCTTACATTTATATCTATTTACTTAAATGCTGGATCTCCAATGCCAAGCTCTGTACTTCAATTGCAGAAGATGTAATAAAAGTCACTAACACATTCTTAGGTAGCAGACTTAGCTGCTCCAACACACAAAAAGGACTCAGAAAGATCTCTCATGAGCCTTACCAGTGTTGTCTTGTTATGTACATCTGAAAAAACACCACCTACATCACAGAACTCCACACTGCTAGCTTGCTTGGTCATATGAATGAGCTCTTGCTGGGGCACTTTTGCAAAACAAACTAGAAGACAGGTCAATTCAGAATCTTTCTTCTATTGGTAATAACTTATCAGACAAAAAAGCAAGAAACATTCCCTGAAAAACTTCTTAAATTCCTATTTCCTGTGTTCTAAAGGACAGGGATTTGTAGTTCAGTCAAATTACTAATACTACTCTTGACCCTCTAGTTGCCAATACATGCATATCTTGCAGGGGTCTACTTCCCACCTAATGACTTCAGAAGGTTTAAACTTTGCTTTTAATAGTTTACACTTTCTTATCTTTAATTTAATAAATAATTTCTCCACCACACACACCTCTTTTAAGTTCTCTCCCATTTCTCTCATCCCTTCACATTTTTAAAGAGCAGGAACATCTTATGAGATGCTTTTTATTCCATGAAGTGTTTTCAGTGTGTGGTTTGGGACCAAGCATACCACTGCTTTTAAAGATCACCGTAAGGTTTAATTTCCTACATGTTAGCAATGGCACTTCAGGAAAAAAATATAGTAATAGCTCAGTAGGAACTTTATTAATTAGAATAAATAATTATTTGCATAATCTCTTTCCAAAATCAAAAAGCTCTGCAATTTCATTCAGCCAAATGGTGCCTTAGCATTTCTTCCCATCCTTTAATAAGTAAAAGGGACTTATGGTACAAGACCTCTTCTAATCTGCTTTGAATTTAGTTCAGATTAATGCCTCCACAGAACAGCAGATCTCTCCAACAGAGACAGGAGCTGCCTCTTCCAAATTTATACAGTTTTTTGCAGCGTTATGCCCAATTCAAATGCATTCTCACAGGCAAAACATTCTAAGAGTTCATTTATGCATTACTTCATAAAATCAACAGACAATTTCCCTGAAAAAAAAAGAACAAAAAAACCCACCACCTTTATTTTAAAAGAAACCAGACAACAGAAAGCAACAAAGTTGCATACAGTGATGGACAAAATCTATCACATACATTTTCCAAGAACATTTGGTTCAGATTCTAATCTTCTGAAGGGTCAATTATTACATCTTTATTAACAGAAAAAAAAAGTCAACAATCAGTTCATGTTTCGCACGGCTCAGGTGGCTGCAGATTAGTAACTTGCCTTTTTCAACTCATCTTTAACACTAAAAGAAGGGAGACACAAAAAATTCCAAGTCAGAAGGCCCTAAACAACAGTGTCTGCTCTAAGGGCCGTATATAAAAGCCTGAGGGAGAGAATGTCCTTCAAGTAAGAATTCCTCAGCAACTACGTATTATTTCGCATTTCAGGAAAAACAAACAAACAGACTGAAAGGCAAAAACAAAGAAACAAACCCTAAATATATTAAAAGCTCACCTTCCTTAAGTTAAATGGAAGTTCAGATTTAGACTATCCTTCACAGGTGACAGAAGTCTCTAGAAAGAGGCAACGCCTCTTATGACTCCAGCCCTGAACGGCCTCCAGAACAGCAATTCCTGAAATACAGTGCACAAAGCTCTGAGGAAAAAGGTGGGGCTGGATCAACATTATTCTGAGACTGACAGTTGTTTGAACACGAAAAGGAAGAACTCCTCGTGTACAGTAAACAACACAAACACAGGTGTTCCCGACGATCAAAAGCCATGTCTGAAACAGGTAACTGAGACACTGAGTACTTTAAGCTACAGGAAGTACCTCTAAGGGGCTGAACACCATTCAGCATTAATTACCTCAGAAGTGATGACACACAACACTAAAGCACTTGAGAGCCCTTTGTATCTATATAAAGCAACAAGGAATTGGAGGCAGTTCATCCAAAGAGTGAACGTGCATAACAAAAGATGTAATGTAGGACTGTTATATTGCCTTAAAGGTTCTGCTAAGTACACTTTATTTCCCAATTTTAAGGAAGGGTCTGTCCTAATACTCCAGAAAGCTCCAGACAAAATGTAGTAATTGCAGGATAACTTCAAAGTACATCCAGTTCTACATCTCCCTGCCTATATCTAACCATATCCAATAGATTAAAAAATATATTAAAATTGCATGTTTTATAAACCAAGTGTTGGAACAGAATTTTCACACCCATGAGCTCACTACCAAATGTTCATCCATTTGTCAGTGGGTAATATTATGGACTTCATACTAACAGTTATGGCAACAGGATGATAACGTACAGAATGCTGAAATTATGTTCTGAAATGCAGTCAGTTTTAATTATCACAAGTTGCTACCACCTATCATACCTCATTCAATGCAAGACACCAGGCCAGCTACCAACCCATAAACAATAATGTTTCACATACTTCACAGAGTAGCTTAAAACACATCATGATATGAAATAATTTGTATTACATAGTAATTTAATCCCCAGCCACAGGGTAAATGTTGGACAAAGTCTGGAAACTTTTTTCCAATTTGAATTACATACATTAACTTTGCCACACACCACAGCACTAATGCATGTATTACTTCAGACATGCTCTAATTTAAAATTGAAACAAAAAAAATTATTGCAAAAATACATGTCACCAATGTGGAACACATTCAAAATTGTATAAAAGTACTGAACTGATATTCCCCAAACAGGTATATTTAAGCAGTACATAAGGAAAGACTAGTTTTAATATGAAACAGTCATTTAAGTCACATACAACATGATAAGAAGCACGGCTTCCTCTTTTGAAAATGTTACATCAATAGTTTTACTGGCAGGCAATGTTTATATCTAAAACAAAAGGAAGATATTTAATGCAGATGTGTTATTGTATTAAGTTGGAATCAAGACAAATGTTAAGGAGGTGCTACATTTGAACACCTTCGATTTTGTAAAACTCTCAAACCACAGAAAGCATTTCACCTATAAATATCAGGGGCTGAGAACTGCAAACACTTTGAAGCATTCCTGACTTCGTGCTTGCAGTTCCATTGATTTCACTGCATTCTTGAAGTTAAGCCTGAAAATTGTACTTTAAGAATTAGTTATAAAGACCCCC